CCGGAGTACATGCTAATTACATACATGTTCCAGGGCCACTGGGAGAGAATGCAGAGCAGGGATTATCCCCTCCCAACTCTCCTCAGGGCACAGCCTCCGGGCAGGGGCAGTAATTATTCCCGGAATAAAGTCCAGATGCAGGAAGGGCCTCCCTGGCCTCACCTGCCAGCACTGACCTGGCCACTGGCCCGCGGCCCTGCCCCTGAGTGACAGCGGCAAAGGCTTCTGCCGGATAAGGATCAGACACGACCAGCAGCACAGATCCGGTTGGAAAACTACCGAATATGTATCCGCTTAAAACTCAGGGGTGGGGGCCGAAAAAGAAGTTTCTCCACTTTTTTTTTTTTTTTAATATATTTTATTGTTTTTTTACAGAAAGGAAGGGAGAGAGATAGAGAGCTAGAAATGTCGATGAGAGAGAAACATCGACCAGCTGCCTCCTGCACACCCCTTACCAGGGATGTGCCCGCAACCAAGGTACATGCCCTTGACCGGAACCGAACCTGGGACCTTGCAGTCTGCAGACCGACACTCTATCCACTGAGCCACACCGGTTTCGGCTTCTCTGCTTCTTTAAGAGCAGACTCACCTACTGACATCCGGGGTCTGGAGTCCGGGCGGAAGTCCCCAAGCTGCCGCCAAGGGCCTGGTTTTTTACTGTTTTGCGGAGAAAACATGGGGCCCAACTTACAAACAAACCAAAGGCGACCCCTCCCCGGGCGCCAGGAGGAGAAACGGTACGATTTGCTGCAAATCACTTTTCATTGCGGGTGCCCATCTAGTGGGAACTGTGCCCCCAAGCCAGGCCTAACGGGACCACCCTGCCTGCCTCCGGGAAGCTGGCACACCATCCACATTGCGTCAATAAATGAGGTCCGGGGTTTCCCCATCTCGCCTCCCCGCCCTTCCTCCTAGGCAGCTGCAGATCCTCAGCTCTCTTCTCCCCAAGCCCCCACTCCCACCTGGCTCTGAGTCCTCCCATGTCGGTAGCCTGGGAAGGGGTCATCGTCACTCCCCTGCCCTCCACTCCCCTCTCCCGGCTCTCACCCTGGCTCTCCTGTCTTCCTCCCCAGCCGCCCCCAAATGCCTGGCCCTCGCTCCCCCATCCCCACCAGCCCGGCGGGCAGGTGCCTCCATCCAGGCTGAAGGGGTCCTCTATCTGCTCTTTCCTCTCCCATCACCCGCCTGTCTCCCTCCGTCCGCATCCCCAGGCGCAGCCTCTGCCAGAGGCCCGGGCTGCCTTTGCTCACACAGGCCCGGCGACCGCGGAGTCCTGTATCTCCAGCGAGTTTACCTTCCCGTCAATCAGGCCCGCGTCTAAAAGCCTCTAATCTCCCGTGCATCGGCTTCATACACTCCGAATTTCCTGCTTTTATCGCAGCTCGATGGCAGCGTCTCTGCAAATAGTTTATTATTCATTCGCGGGGTCCTCCCTCCCCCACCCCAGGGAGGACTCGCCTGGATGGGAACGGCCAGCGGAATGGGTAGGAGCCCTCCCCTCCCCCACGGGGTAGCAGCAGAGACCAGCCTTAGACAGTGCCGGCAGCTCTGGAAAATAGCAGCGAGTCCATGTTTTAATTTTTAAAAAAAAATGTTTTATTGCCAAGGCCGGTTTGGCTCAGTGGATAGAGCGTTGGCCTGCGGACTGAAAGGTCCCGGGTTCGATTCCGGTCAATGGCATGAACCTTGGTTGCGGGCACATGCCAGGTGGGGGATGGGCAGGAGGCAGCTGGTCGATGTTTCTCATCGACGTTTCTAGCTCTCTATCTCTCTCCCTCCCTCTCTGTAAAAAATCAAAATATATTTTTAAAAAATAAATAAATAAAATATTTTATTGATTTTTTACAGAGAGGAAGGGAGAGAGAGAGAAAGCTAGAAACATCGATGAGAGAGAATCATCAACCAGCTGGCTCAGAATCATCGATCATGACCAAGGTACATGCCCTTGACCAGAATCGAACCTGGGACCTTTCAGTCCGCAGGCCGCAGGCCGACGCTCTATCCACTGAGCCAAACCGGTTTCAGACACATTTTAATCTGAAAGGCTGATTTCTGCCACAGAAACCCATTCAATATGAACGTTTGTTAGAAATCCTGGTTCCAGGACTCTGATTTCTTAGAAGTATGCCTTCAGCCGAAACCGGTGTGGCTCAGTGGATAGAGCATCGGGTCTGTGGACTGAAAGGTCTCAGGTTTGATTCCGGTCAAGGGCCTGTACCTGGGTTGCGGGCACATCCCCAGTGGGGGGTGTGCAGGAGGCAGCTCCTCGATAATTCTCTCTCGATGTTTCTAACTCTCTATCCCCCTCTCTTCCTCTCTGTAAAAAATCAATAAGATATATTTATTTTTAAAAAAAAAAAAAAAGTATGTCTTTGATGTGCATTAAAGTCCCCGGTGTGAGAGCCATACACTTTTCCCCACTCTGGGAATCCCTCTCCTGCCCGAATTCCACGTAGGGGTGTCGAACTCAATCAGAGAAGGGGCCAAAATCTAAAATCCAGCCTAAATCGCGGGCCGAATGGTTTACTGAACAGTCATAAACTGTCATTGTGATGGAAACGCAGCGGAGTGCAGTGATGACAGCGCGGTGCGGGCCACATTGCAAGGCCTGGCGGGACGGATTTGGCCCGCGGGCCTTGTGTTTGACACATGTGCCATAGAGCTATCCGAATCATTAGATAAATACCCACTGTCCTATTCTAATGTGAATCTAGTTAAACAACTAACGCCCACTTTGCACCCACGACTTCTCAAATGACTTTTTTACTACACAGCTGGGTAAGTACACAACACTTGTTCTTGTTACAGGCGATTTAATTTAAAGAAAATCCCTGCTGTATTATACAGGAGATGTTTAAAGATGGCCTGGGAATGCTGAAAACATATTTATGAATGCAACTAACGAGAGGTAGCTATGACACCCCACGGGGACCTTTGTAATAAAGCTTCAAAGTTAAACGCGTGGACCCCACGTGAGGAAGGAATTTTTTTTGGGGGGGGAGAGACGCTGTTTTATACAGTGACAGGCAGATACAAGCACCTGATACAGTAACCGCTTCCCTCAGTCCTAGCGTCAGAAGCAAACAGTCGCATACATATCAAAAGCGGGAATTAGATGGTTTGATTATGGATGCTAAGGGAAGCATCCCCGCACCTAGGTGATTCCACACTGCTGTTTCTCAAAAGCAAAAATTCAGAGCTGATGAACAACCATTCATGAAATTCTTTATTCGAACACCTATTTCTTAAAAAAAAAAAAATGACAAAAGCCAGTATTCTGGATAAATCAAATGCTTCCTAAAGTAAGATTATGTTGGAAGGGTAGCCACCTATTCAATGGCCAGCCACCAGGTTAAAGAAATACTAGTGGCTAGAGCCTCGGTCTGCAGAATGGAAGGTCCAAGGTTCGATTCCGGTCAAGGGCATGTACCTTGGTTGCGGGCACATCCCCAGTGGGAGGTGTGCAGGAGGCAGCTGGTCGATGTTTCTCTCTCATCAATGTTTCTAACTCTCTTTCCCTCTCCCTTCCTCTCTGTAAACAATCAATAAAAATTATATATATGTATGTATGTATATGTGTATATATGCATGTATATGTATATATGTATGTGTATGTGTGTATATGTGTATGTATATGTATATATGTATGTGTATGTGAATATATATATATATATATATATATATATATATATATATATAGAAATGCGTGTATTTCTGTTTGGGAGGGAATGGCCCAAGTTAAGGGACAGAAGCCTGGAAGAATCGCCGGGACGATGGTTAACTGGTCCTCCCACCCTGTGTCTCTCCTCTTCTCCCCCCCCCACCTCTGCTCTTCGAGTTTGCGGTGCTGCTTCCTGAACCCCTTTCCTTCCTGAACCCCCTTTCTTCTCTCTCCTCCCACCGGGGCGCTCAGAAGGCGGCAGAATGTGGTTCCGCGGGGGACACCCCCTCCCGCTTCCAACAACCGCCTCAGGCCCTCCGCTTCCCTGCGGAGCGGGCACAGGGCAACGAGTCCTCCCAGCTCTGCCAGCAGCGCCTCCGGCCCCGGAGCCCCCAAACCCCGCCCTTCAGCAGCCGCACCCCCTTCGGTCCTGCGACCACAGGCACCGATCGCCACACTCCGCCTGAGCCCGTGCCTGAGCCCGTTCAAACCAACCCGGTCGCCGAAACCGGTGTGGTTCAGTGGATAGAGCGTAGGCCTGCGGACTGAAGGGTCCCGGGTTCGATTCCGGTCAAGGGCATGTACCTTGGTTGCGGGCATATCCCAGGTGGGGGGCGTGCAAGAGGCAGCTAATGGATGTTTCTCTCTCATTGATGTTTCTAACTCTCTATCCCTCTCTCTTCCGCTTTGTAAAAAATAAAAATAAAATAATAAAAAATAAAATAGTGTGATAATCAGAAAAATAAAAAAATAAAAAAACCGGGCGAGAAGGGCCGCTGTGGGCCATTCCCCTCGAGGGCAGGGCGGGCCGAGCACCCAGGGGCTCCCCAGCCCAGCAAGCCGCGGCCCCGCGAGGCCGCCAAAGGGTTAAGGATCCGGGGAAAACCTGAGCCCGCTCCGCCCGGGGCGGCGGCGGAGATTAGGTCTCGGGTCTCTCTCTTTCTCTCTCTCTCTCTTTCTCTCCCTCCTCTCTCTCTCTCCCATTTCCTGCGCCCTCCAGGGCCCGTTCCCAAGAAGAACACAGGGGCGGGGGGTTTGAAATGTCACACCGGGGCGCCCGGGCCATCCTCCCGCCCTGCGCGCGGGGCCTGGAAAGAAAATAAACCGCGGACACGCCAGACTGGTTCTGGGCCGGCCGCCGGCTCCCTCCGCCTCCCGCCCTATCGCTGGCAGGTGATGCCGGGCCGATAAGGGGCCGCCGCCGCCCGCCGGCCTCCGTCTAGACGGGAAAGAATAGCCGGCGGGGCCCCCGGCTCCCCAGCCCGCCCCGAGCACCCCGACCCCCGCCCGGCGCGGACACGCGGGGCCCCGACCGCGCACACACGGCAGCAGCCTCGCGTCCGGTTCTCATTTTTTTTTATTATTATTAAGATGAAAATATTCGTCCCACGATGAACGGGCCGTTCTCACAATAAATAATAACAATAACTTACGTTCCGTTAGGCAGAGGCTCGCGCGCGGGCTCTGCCCTCCGTCGGCGGATAATTTAGACGCGTTTCAAGGTCAGTCCCGGGTCCGCGTCCCGGCGGCCATGCGCTGTGCGGGGCGGAGGGAGGTCGCGCCTCCGGCCTCCTCCGTCCTCTCGCAGCTGAACTCCCCCCCACCCCGGGGAGAGGGGGGGCAGGGCTGACGCAGAGGCACCCCAAGTCTGGTTCTGAGGACACGGACGCTCCTCTCCAGCCGGAAAGCGGGGCGCCCCGCCGGGCTGGGCCCCCGGACGCCCCGCGAGGATGTCTCTTTAAATAACGGTACTGCCGGCGGCGGGGGCGGCGGCGGGTCTCATGCAGGCAGCATGCGGGTCCGCGGCGGTGGCCGGGCCTCACGTCTCCACGGGGCTGGGCACCATGCTGTTGGGCGTGTCGGGGAGCTGCGAGGACAGCGAGGTCACGTCGCTGCCGCTGCCGGAGGAGTTGCCCAGGGAGCCTGACTCGGAGAAGGAGACCTGGGGGCCGCGGGGGACGCACGTGAGGACGCGCCCTGTCGGGGCTCCGAGTCGGATGCCCCTGGGGACGCGCTCCCCGAGACCTCCGCTGGATCCCCCAGGCGCCTGGCCATCCCTCTGCTACGCGCCCTAATCCAGGAGGCCTGGCTTCAAGCGAATTACAATTAGAATTACAATTACGGACAGGGGTGCGGGTGCAGTGTCCCCCATCCCCACCACCACCAGCCCCCCGCCCCCCGCTTGCCTAGGGCCGTCCCAGTGGGTCCACCATCCCCCCAACAACAGCCCCCCACCCCCGCTTGCCCAGGGCTGTCCCAGCGGGTCCCCCACAAAAGGTCTCCCTCCCTGTCCAAACGGCAAACACCCCCCCACCCCTGCCGCGCCCGCCCCAGCCTCACCAGCTGCTGGAAAGCCGGCTGGTCCAGGTCGCTCTGCAGCGCGAACTCGCCGAGCGTCTTCCAGGGCGGCTGGTAGGTCTGCACCTCCACCGCGCTGCCCTGCAGGGCGCCGTCGTGGCGGATGGGGCTGCCGGCCACCAGCGGGGTCCCCGTCAGGCCCTGCAGGCTCTGCGGACCCGGAGACGGGGAGGGGGGCCGGGTTAGGGCGCACTCCCACGTTTCCCTCGGCCTTGGAGACGGGCGAGGGCGCAGAGGGTGGCTCTCCTTCCCCAGAGAGAGTCCCCGGGGCCTCCACCCCCCAAACCCGCCGCCACGGGGCTGGGAGCCCCAGGGGGCCAGGGACCCCAGGCCCGAGTCCCCCGCCCTCGTCAAGAACGCAGGACACGACTGGCCAGACTCAGGGAGCCCCCCAACTCAGATCTGCCTTTGAGGGACGGAGACCCCAGCTCAGATGCAATCACTAGGGAGCCCAGAACTTCCCAAGAAGAGCCTTCCTCTGAGTTCCCAAGCAGATTGTCTGGAGAGGACCACTCCCCGGCTCCCCAGGGCCTGGTCTGGAGAGGAGGGCGCCGGCCTCGGGCCTGTCTGCGGCCCGGCCCCGGCTCTCACCCCCGCTGCCCCACGGCCCTCACCGTCTTGTCGGGGGACGGAGACCCCAGCTCAGATGCAATCCAGATGCAATCGTTAGGGAATCCCCCAAGGAGAGCCTTCCTCGGAGGCCCAAGCAGCCGGTCTGGGGAGGCCCGTTGCCGGGCTCCCCAGGGCCCAGTCTGGAGAGGAGGGCGCGGGGCACAGGCCCGTCTGCGGCCTGGCCGGGTCCTCACCCTCACGCCGGGGGCCCGGCCCTCACCCCCGCCGCCCTCACCGTCTTGTCGCCGAGCTGCTGCTGCTGCTGCAGCTGCTTCAGGAGCAGCGACTTCTTCTTGTCCTTGCAGCGCTTGTTCTGGAACCAGACGCGGATGACGCGCGGGCTCAGGCCCGTCATCTCCACCAGCTGCTCCTTCATGAGCGCGTCGGGCCGCGGGTTGGCGGCGTAGCAGGTCCGCAGCGTGTGCAGCTGCTTCTCGTTCAGCACCGTCCGCACGCGGGTCGTCTTCTCCGCCGCCGCTGGCTTGTGCGGGCGCAGCGCGGGCGGCCGGCCGGACCCTGGCTCTGCTCACACCCCGGGCCGGCGGGAGCGCGGAGAGCAAAGGGCGCGGTGAGAGAGGGGGGCCCCGTGTACCCCCAAATCCCCGCAGCCGCCGCCCGCCCGCCCCTCCTCCGCCCCGACTTCGTTTTTCTTTTATTCCGTTCGCCTCCCTTTCTCTCTCCGCCCCCCACTCGGAGGGCGGTGCGCTGAGTCCCCCCTCCCCCCGTCCTCGCCAGGAACTCGGGACACAACCGACCCGCCAGACGTGAGCTCCAGGGACCCCCCCAACTCCGATCTGCTTTGGGGACGGACACTCAGCTCAGATGCAATCCCTAGGGAGCCCGGAATCCCCCCAAGGAGAGCCTTCCTGGGAGGCCCTAGCAGATGGTCTGGAGAGGCCCACTCCCCCTTCCCGAACCCCGACCCTCCGCGCGCAGCGACCTGCCCGCCCCCCGAGTGCCGGAGTGGCTGCCCCGACCCTGTGCGCAGACCCGCCGCACTGCCTGGGCCGAGGGGCCCGCAGGAGGCCCGCGTCACCCGAACTAGAGCCGGATCGCCTCCAGGAAAAGTCCATTATTTCGGAGGCAGAGAAAGAGGGCACCCACGGCCTCTGGAAGCAGAGGGGGACCCCAGCGCCTAGCTGCTGAAATCTGGGGGCTCATCTTGCGCGCCTCGGGCCCTCCCCCAGCCCTACCCCCTCTTTCAAGGGGGTCGCTCGGCCTAGGCCTTGCACCGCGGCCCGGGGACGAGTGCTCCTTCCCCGCGCCCGGCCCTGCCTTCTCTCCACCCGGGAAAACGGACCCGTCTCCGCAGCGGACAAAGGGAGATCCGAGCGCGTGGCTCCCGGCTTCCTCCATCCCGCCTCGCACGCGCGCGTCCCCGAATTCGGGGTCTGCACACCCCGGATTCCTGCGCGCACCCCTCGTCCCCCCCGCCAGCCAGGGGTTTCTGGGTGAGTATTTATAATTACAAATATTATTAACAAAAAACAAAAAAACAAAAGCCGGTCCAGCCGTGTGCTCGTTCCGCAGGGGAAGAAGCGGCGGGCAGAGGCTGGGTGGGGGTAGCGGGGACCCAGCCCGGCCTGTCCGCACCGCTGGGGCCGGGCACACGGCCCCTGACCCCCAGGACCGCGCACTCGGCCCCGCAGACCTCCGGCGCCCGCCCCCCGTGGGAGCTGCCCCTTCCCTCCCGCCGGGGAGCATCTGGCCACGTTGTTCGTTCCCCAAACGGGGCCTCGGATTGACTTGGACCCCGCTCTTCCCCGGTGGCCGGGCCACAGCCTCCTGGGCTGGGCCCACGCTCCTCCTCCTCCAGCCCTGGCCACCGTCCCCCCGCGGCTCCCGCTCCTGGACCCGCGGCCCCGTGTCCCGATCGCGGGGGACACAATGCCCCGTGTCCGCCCCGTCCGCACCCACGCTGGAGGCCCCCGAGATGAGCCCCCACATTCCAGCAGCTAGGCGTTGGAGGTTCCCCCGGTCCTCCAGAGGCCGTGGGTAACCCCTTCGGGTCACACACACACACACACACACACACCGTCCTGGCTCCCAGAGGCCCACAGCGGGTTCCCGCACACGCACACACCCGGCCGTGGCCACAGCTCGCGGTTCCGCAGACACAGAGGAAAACAAGCGACAAGGTGTCCCCCAAATCCCAGCAGCTAGGCGCTGGGGGTCACCCCCCTCCTCCAGAGGCCCTGGGTGCCCCCTTCCTCTGCCTCCGGTTCCCCGCTCGCGCACACTCACGCACCCACGCGGGAGGGGCCCGAGGCGCGCAAGATGAGCCCCCAAATTGAATTTGGGGGCTCATCTTGCGCGCCTCGGGGGGGCCCCTCCAGCTCTTCCCCCTCCAGAGGCGTGGGTGCCCCCTTCCTCTGCCTCCGGTTCCCCGCACACACACACACACCGGCCGCGGCCGCAGCTCCCGGTCCCGCAGCCGCAGAGCCCCGCGCCCCGGCTCACCTGGCAGCGGCGCGCCCCGCGCGGGGAGCGGCCCGGGGCTCCGCGGGGGGCTGCCGGCCCCGGCGCGCTCCAGCCGGAGCCCGTGGTCCACCCGGCACAGCAGCTCGCGCTCCCGCAGCGAGAACTCATCGCCGGGCAGCAGCTGGCGGCCGCAGGCGGAGCAGCGGAAGCACTCGACGTGGTACACGCGGTCCCGCGCGCGCATCACCAGGTCGCCGCCGCCGAAACCCGCGCCGCAGCGCGCGCACTTGACCCCGAAGAGCCTGCGGGGGGCGCGGGGGGCGGTCAGCCGGGCCCGCCCCAGGGGGAGGGGGATTCCCGGGGGGAACAGGGTTTATTTTGGGGGGTCCCCCGGCCTCACCGGGCGTAGTCCCGCTTGCAGTAGGTCTTCCCGTCTCGCACGAAGCACGTGCACGTCTCGTCCAGGAACTGGCTGCACTCGGCGCACTTGAGGCAGGCGGCGTGCCACTCCAGGTCCGGGGACACGCGCAGGATGAACTGGTCGTGGATCTGGCTCCCGCAGCCCACGCACGTGGCCGTGCCCGGCTTCTCTGCCGGGGAGGACACCCCGTCAGGCCCGGCTGCGGGTCCGGGTGCGGGTCCGCCGCGCCTCCGGCCCCCCTGGCCAGCCCGGCCCGCCTGGCCCGCTGGCTCTCCTCGGGCGAGAATTGCGCCCGAGAAAAAGGAAACGATTGGTAAGGTATGTACACATATAATATTTTAATTTAAAAAAATAAATAAAGAAAAAGGTTTAGGCATCTTCACTTTTCATTGTCTTACTTCGCTGGAAATTATACATAATGTAAAAAGTGGAGCCCTATTTACTGATTTTTCCCTTAGTTTAATATAAGTGTGCCTCCCTTTAAGCAAAATATACTGAATGACTTGTAGAATAAAACAATATGAATTACAAAAAAAAGAAAGAAAAAAAGAAAAAGGAAGCGGACTTTTCTAAAGGTTCCGGGCGACTGGGAAACTCAAAGACAAAAAACAGGATCTGGAAAGGCGTCTGGCCTTCCCCCCCTCCCGCACCCCAAAACAGAGAACACATCCCTGTGAATTTCGTTGGTTGTGCCGGTGTGTGTTGTTATAGCCAAAAGCTGAGGACGGGGGTGCGGAGGAAGGAGCCGGACACCCGGGCTCTGCGGACCCACTGCGTCCCCAGAAGCGGGGCGCGGCCCCCGGCCCCCTCCCACGGCAGCCCCAGCCCCAGCCCCGCGCGCCCCGATCAGCCCGGAGCCTCGCACCCGCAGGGACGCGCCCGGGTCCGGGCAAAGGAAACAGTCTGGATCGGAGCCCCCAAACCCGCGAGCAGCCCGGGTCCGGCCGGAGGAAACCGGTCCGGATCTGGGTCTGGATCGGAGCCCCCAGCCCGGCGAGCAGCCAGAGCCCAGCGCCCCCCTAGTCCCACCCCGCAACTGTCCGCAGGTCCCCAGCCCGAGGCCGCCCCGCGCGGGGGGAAGGCTGCACTGCTCCGGGTTCCAGCAGCGGCTGCCCGCGGGGTTTGCGCTCCGGGTCGCCCCGGGGTCCTTGTCGGACACGAGCCACTTGTGGGACCCGGCGGGCACCTCCTGCCGCAGGATCGCCGCGCCCCCGCGCGCCCACGCTCCCGCCCACACCCTCGCCCCGGAGAGACTCACTCGTGGCCGGATCCCCCATCGCCCCCGCGCCCGGCCGCCGCGGGACCAGGTCCACCATGCGGGCGGCGGGCGCCCCGAGCGCGCCGGGCGGCGGCGGAGGAGGACCCGGGGCGCGCGCCCCGCCGGCTCCTGGCGGCGAACTAAGTCGGGCCCCGCGGACTCGCCGGACCGACCACCCCGGCCCGCACGCAGCATGACGTCAGCACGCCGTCGCCGGGCGGCCGGGCGGGGGCGGGACCTACGGCGTCACCATCCCCCCTTCCCCCCCCTCCCCGGCCCAGAACCGGGGTGCTGGGAGGCGATCGGGGACCCGCAGCCGGTGGGCGGGCGGGCGCGGGGGGGGGGGGGGAGGCGGGGGCGGCGCGGGATTGGCTGCCGGGACAGGGGCGGCCCCTGATTGGCCGGAGCGAACAATGGAGCGCGGCCCCCTCCCCTCCGCACCGCGCCGCCCGGCGTCCGGGCTGGACCGACCCCCGTCCCCGCCTGGACTTTCGAGGCGATCCGAGCACGGAGGGGGGGACCCCAGGGAGTGGGGTGGTATTTATTGAAATGGTCCCATTCATCCATTAATTAAAATTAAAAATTCACTCTCTGGCCGAAACCGGTGTGGCTCAATGGATAGAGCGTCGGCCTGCGGACTGAAGGGTCCTGGGTGCGATTCCGGTCGGGGGCGTGGTCCTTGGTTGCGGGCACATCCCCAGTGGGGGGTGCGCAGGAAGCAGCTGATCGATGATTCTCTCTCATGGATGTTTCTGGCCCTCTATCCCTCTCTCTTTCTCTCTGTAAAAAATCCGTAAAAAAAAAAATATGTGTATGTATGTATATATATATATATATATATATATATATATATATATATATATATATATATATTTTTATTTTTTTTTTTAAATTCCCTCTTTGGGGATCAGAGCTGGGGAGGGAGGGTCCGCTTGGACCGGACCTGGGTCACCTCTCTCCTCCTGCGCCTGCTTCTGGGGTCCAGGCTAGGGAGAGGTCAGGGGCGCCCCGAAGACTTACCCCAGTCGGAGGAGCCGGGGCGGGTGTGGTGCGCGGCGGCGCGGGATCCCGGAGAAGCCCCGGATCCGGGCTGGAGCCTGGACTGGCCCCGGTTCGGCGGAGGGTTGTGTTTGACACCGATCTCCACCCCCATCCCCCATCTCTCACCTCTCTCCCTCCCCTCAACACCCAGCTCTGTCTGGAAACCGGGTTGAGATCGAAGGAGGCTCTGGCCTCCAGAATGAACCGTGTTTATAAACTCTTTTTTTTTCATATGTATAAACACTTCCGTCTCGTTTTTCAGCCCAACTCGAACCGCACACGATCCGGGCACAGCCGCGGGAGCGGGGACATGGGCCGGCGGTGCGGGAGGGGGGGGTTAGGATGGGAGGAGTTCTGGGCCCGGCCGGGCCGTGCGCGGAGTGGTGTCTGCCGGCGAGCGGGGTGCGGGGTGCGGGTGCGGGAAGCGGAGAGCGGGGTGCGGGGAGCAAGGAGCGGGGTGCGGGGTGCGGGGAGCAAGGAGCGGGGAGCGCGGTTCGGGGCGCGGTGGTGCAGAGGGGTCGGTGCGCGCCCAGCGGGGCGCAGTCGGCGCTGGAGCTGGACAGTCTCCCCCAGGTCCCGGCCCCGCTGCCTCCGCCGCCGGAGCCCCGGCTGGCGGCCCCGCGCTCTGGGCTGCGCGCCCGGCCTGGCTGCGGCCAAGGACGTGGGGGAGCGTTGCGGGGAGCCGCCGGGCCTCTGCGCACAGAACCCTGTTGAGCGGCTGTGTCGGGGTCTGGCGCCGGGGTGCAGGGCCCGGGTGCGGGGCCGTGGTGCAGGGGTGCGAGGGAGGGGGAGGGGGCGGCCGGCGGTCACTCCGGCTTCGGATGCTGCCTCGCCTCCGGGTGCCAGTCTCTCCGCATTTAGTCCCAGCGGTGCCAGCAGCGGCCCTGCCAGCCACCGGCCTCTCCGGGCTCTGCTGCTGCAGGTTGAGGTGGGGAGAACGCTGCCTCTGAAGGGATCTGTCCGTCAGACAGATAGACGGACAGACGGACGGACAGACAGAAGGACGGACAGACAGACAGACATCGGGGTTGAGCCACGGGCATCTGTGCTCCTGGCTGTGGCCGCAGGCATCTCATTTTACTTTCCTCTCCCCCAGTCTCCCCAACTGTCAAATGGGGTGACCCGCCGAAACCGGTTTGGCTCAGTGGATAGAGCGTCGGCCTGCGGACTGAAGGGTTCTGGGTTCGATTCCGGTCAAGGGCATGGATCTTGGTTGCGGGCACATCCCCGGTGGGGGGTGTGCAGGAGCCAGCTGGTCGATGTATCTCTCTCATTGACGTTTCTAACTCTCTATCCCTCCCAATTCCTCTCTGTGTAAAATCAATAAAATATATTTAAAAATCAATTATATATATATATATATATATATATATATATTTAAATATATTTTATTGATTTTTTAAAATATATTTTATTGATGTTTTACAGAGAGGAAGGAAGAAGATAGAAACATCGATGAGAGAGAAACATCGATCAGCAGCCTCCTACCGGGGATGTGCCTGCAACCAAGGTCCATGCCCTTGACCAGAATCGAACCCAGGACCCTTGAGTCCACAGGCCAACTCTCTATCCACTGAGCCACACCGGTCCCGGCAATAAAATATATATTTTTAAAAAGCATAGGCTGCCTGCCTGCCTGCCTGCCTGCCCATGGAGCTGGCTTGGCCCTGGGCATCCCAGACATGCATCCATCACCTTCCCGAGTTAACCCAGCTCCTGAGAGCTGGGACTGAGCCTCACACCCACTAGCCCAGTGGTCGGCAAACTGCGGCTCGCGAGCCGCAGGCGGCTCTTTGGCCCCTTGAGTTTTTAGCAGAGGCCAGCTTAGGAGTGCCCTCATTAAGTCAATAACCATGTACCTACCTATATAGCTTAAGTGTAAAAAATGCAGCTCTCGCCGGGACCAGTTTGGCTCAATGGATAGAGCATAGAGCGTCGGCTTGGGGACTGAAGGGTCCCAGGGTTCGATTCCGGTCCCTTGACCGGAATGTACCTTGGTTGCGGGCATATCCCCAGTAGGGAGTGTGCAAGAGGCAGCTGATCGATGACTCTCTCTCATCGATGTTTCTAACTCTCTATCTCTCTCCCTTCCTGTCTGTACAAAATCAATAAAATATATATTTTTAAAAAATGCGGCTCTCCAGAGAAACGTCAATCGTTGTCCTGTTGATATCTGGCTCTGCTGACCGGTGAGTTTGCTGACCACGGCCCCAGCGCGTGAGACGGTGAGGAATCCGTGGGGCTCGAGTCTCGGGGAGGGTATTGGCACCACCTGCTCCTTCGCTTCTCGCTTTCTCTGTAAGGGACACGCCCAGAGTCCTCCCACAGAGAGCCTCCCTCTGAGCACCTCCGTCACACAAGGGTGACAAAATGAACCCGCACCCCTTTTAAGATACAGGAGTCTTTTCCCGGCTGGCATGGCTCAGTGGTTGAGTGTCAACCAGAAGGTCACAGTTCAATTCCTGGTCAGGGCACCTGCCCGGGTTGCGGGCTTGATTCCCAGTGAGGGGCCAGGAGGAGTTAGTTAGCCTATTGACGCTTCTCTCTCATCATGGATGTTTCTGTCTCTCTCTCCCTCTCCCTTCCTCTCTGAAATATATATATATATATATATATATATATATATATATATACACACACACACACACACACTCACACACACACACACACACACACACACATATATACGCACACACACACACTCACACACACACACACATATATATACACACACACACATATATATATATATACACACACACACTCACACACACACACACACACACATATATATATATATATATCTTTAAATAAATAAATAAATAAATATACACTGAGTGGCCAGATGATGATGATCTCTGAACGCATAATAATCTGGCCACTCAGTGTATATCCTATAGAATAAAAGGCTCATATGCAAATTGTCCCCTGGACCAGGAGTTCAGCCAGCAGGCAGGCCGGCCAATGGCCCATGTCCCCTCCCCCTGGCCAGGCTGGCCGGACCCCACCCATGCATGAATTTATGCACTGGGCCTCTAACACACACACACACACACACACACACACACACACTGAGTGGCCAGATTATTATGCATTCAGAGATCATCATCATCTGGCCAGTCAGTGTATATATGCCTGTGTGTGTGTGTGTGTGCCTTTGTTTCTTTTTAAATCCCACCCTTGGGGGAGCTGCCTGGATAACCCCCCCAAACCCGGATCTTGGGGGAGGAGGAGCTGTGGGAAGGAGCTTCTGGGAAGCTTTCCTTTTCCCGTCTTTCCAGAGGCGAGGCCGGCCAGTTGGCCCAGCCTGGGAGCGGCTCTGAGGACTGGCAGCGCCAGCGTCAGCACAGACGTGTGGACGTGCGGGTTCAGGTTGTGCAGACTTTGTGGCCGGCTACTGCCCTGTTAGCAATCATAGGCTCTTTCCTTTCTCATCCTAAGCCGCATGGAGACGGGTTATCCGGATCCTCCCTTGGGAGGTGTCTCTTCATCACGTTATGGTCAGAAGCTTTTCTCTTTTTTTAAAATAGATTTTATTGATTTTTTTTTTTCTTTCAGAGAGGAAGGGAGAGAAATAGAGTCAGAAACATCAATGAGAGAGAAACATCCATCAGCTGCCTCCTGCACACCCCGCACTGGGGATGTGCCCGCAACCAAGGTCCATGCCCTTGGACCGGAATCAAACCCGGGACCTTTCAGTCCGCGCAGGCTGGCGCTCTATCCACTGAGCCACACCAGCCAGGGCCATGGTCAGAATCTCTGAAAGGTTTAGAAGGAGGTCCTTCGGTCTCCCTAGCACACATCCGTAAGAAGCTCAGCGTGCGTGTTTTTCTTCCTGAAAGAGACCAACCAGCGCGTCCTCCGTGGTCCCTTTGTCGCCCGGAACAGAGTGGGATTCCTGATGACTCCAGCGAAGACCCCTCAGGAGGACCTACCAGGATCCTCTTTCCCAGCAGCGTCTCTGGAGGCGAGAGCTGGCAGCCGGTTCCAGAAATAGACAGCGAGGGAGACCCTAAACTCCGGGCTGTCAGCCTTGCCGGGCGGATTATCCGATGGCTAATCGTGCGCAGATTGGGATCGATGTGACGGCAGAGGGCCCTAATCCGACTGGCGGGAACCCGGGCGGGCTTTCGTCCGTCCGCTCAGAGTGTGTCATTGGTTTGGAGGCA